AGAGTCAGAGTCTGGAAGCAGAGTATATAAATCTGGCTCGGATTCAGGGGATTCGGGGGCTGATCCTGAGCCGAACTCAGGGTCTCCGTTGCTCGCAGCTGTGTCTTTCTTATCAGATGTCTCCCGTTCGGTATGTAGCCATCTGCAGACCTGGCTTCTCCGTAACTGAGTTAAAAATTTCCACTCTAGGGCATAGTGGGTTGGAGAGGCTCGCAGTTCCTTTAAATCTCCCGCTAGCGCATGATCCCTATTTTCTACTGCGTGCTTCAAAATGGCACCGCAATCGATCTGGCGCCGAGGCACCGCCCTCTTTCTTTCGGATTCCTCGACATTTATCATGTGCATACCTTCCAATATACTTTCTCTGTCCTTTTCAAAGTCCCTACTTTCGGAACTGGGGTGGTGGGGGAGCAGGGGGTTACACCTCCTCCGCGGCACCTTCTGATGGAGGGGGAGAAAAGGAAGGGGGGAGGGGGAAACCCTGTGCTCCCGCGAGTTGGGGGAAACGAGTTGTAATCTTCCCCTGGTTTCAACCGACCGGGGACGTCTGTTCCAAGTTTCTTCGTTGCTACCACGGCAGTTTTCTTTTCTGCCTTGTATCTTTTTATACAGTTCATTACTTCTCTCTGTGGTTTACCGAGTTTCTTTGCCGTTTTATCATCATTTAGCATTGAGTCAAATAGCTCATCACCAAACTTTCGCCACTCACTCTCCTCAAAAACTGTATTAGGATCTACAAAAAATCCCTTAGCCTTCCCTTCAGCCACTAGACCTGCTAGCTGCTTTAGAGTCTCAGGCTCAATTCCCCGCTTTTATAAAAAGCACTGTAATAAGATTCAGTCAGCTGATCGGAGCTAGCCTAGCTAGAGCCGCAGCCGGCAGGCTTCAGCGACCACGAGGGTCACCGGAGATTAGGAAAATCAGAGGGGATAGCGCAGAGACATCGTGATTCCCGACATCTCCCGATCCCCGAAGCCCCAGCAGCCCTTGCGAGAGCGCGGCTGACGTGCCGGGGGGCGTTCCCACAGTGACGGTGACCACTCCGCTGCCCCTTGCCTTGGAAGAGCCTCTGAGAGGGCAGCGACACCACCAGGCGCAGGGAGGAGCAAGCAGGTCGTGTTGCTGACCCTGTTGCTGGTGTCCCAGACTGCGGACCAATATGGTCGCCTCCAGAAAGAGAGCTTGCAGTAAGGTGACTGCAGCAACTCAGACAGAGACCCCGTCCCAAACCGTGGCTGTTCAGGTCTCTGGGTGCAGGGAGTGCCAGAGCCTGCTGCTGCCGGAGGAGGGAGGACAGCATTCCACCTGCGTGAGGTGTGAGCAGGTAGAAGATCTGCTTAGCCTGGTGGCAAAACTTAAGGAGGAGGTTGAGGCGCTGAGGACCATCAGGGAATGTGAAAGGGAGATCGACTGGTGGAGTAACTCCCTGGCGTGCCAGTCGGAACGGTTCCAGGGAGATACTCCCCAAAAGGGGAAGGACCCCCTGCCTTCTCACACAGAGGGGGATGGCCCGAGACAGCCCCTGCCCTGTAGCTGTTGCACAGAGGCAGGGGACCAAAAAGACGACGAGGGTTGGAAGCGAGTTCCACTTCGGCGTTGTGGGAAACCCTCCCCCCTTCCTGCCCTGCTTCCCCAGGTGTCCCTCCGTAATAGGTTTGAGGCCCTGGATCTTGAAGGAGATGTAGGTGAGAATGTGGGGCAAGGCCAGCCCACAAGGCCACATAGGAAAAGGCGGTCGACTTTGCACCTCAAGACTGCCTCTGTTAAGAAAGAAAGAAGGGTCATTGTAGTAGGGGATTCCCTTCTGAGAGGAACAGAGGGCCCTCTGCAGCAACCACGAGATGGTGGAATTCAGGATCTTGTGTGGTAGGACCAGTAGAATAGCAAGTAGAATTGCAACCCTGGACTTTAGCAGGGCAAACTTTGGCCTTTTCAAGCAATTGCTAGGGGAAATCCCATGGGCAAGGCTGCTTGAAGGTAAAGGGACCCAAGATAGTTGGTTGACATTCAAGGATTGCTTTTTCCGAGCTCAAGATCGGAGCATCCCGACACGTAGGAAGTCAAGGAAGAGGGCCAGGAGACCTGCGTGGCTAAATAGGGAATTGCTGGGTATGCTCAAGTGGAAGAGGAGAGTTTACAGGTCATGGAAGGAGGGGCTGGCCACTTGGGAGGAATATAAGGCTGCTGCTAGAGGATGTAGGAAGGCAGCTAGGATGACTAAGGCCTCCTTAGACTTAAACCTGGCGGGAAGGGTCAAGGACAGCAAAAAGAGCTTTTTCAAATACATGGCAGACAAAACTAACACCAGAGGCAATGTAGGCCCACTGATGAACGGGATGGGTGCCCTGGTGACAGAAGATACAGAGATGGCAGAGTTACTGAATGCCTTCTTTGTCTCTGTCTACTCTGCTGTAGGCAGTCCTGAAGAGCCCTGTACCCCTGAGACCTTAGATGAAGTCAGGTCAACGGAGCGGTTTGCCTTAGTCGATGAGGAATGGGTTAGAGACCAGTTGAGCAATCTGGACATCCGTAAATCCATGGGTCCAGATGGGATGCACCCGCGGGTGCTGAGGGAACTGGCGAAAGTCATTGCTAGACCACTCTCCATGATCTTTACCAAGTCTTGGGAAACGGGAGAGGTGCCTGGAGGACTGGAGGAAAGCAAATGTCACTCCGGTCTTCAAAAAGGGCAAGAATGAGGACCCGGGTAACTATAGACCGGTCAGCCTCACCTCCATCCCTGGGAAAGTGATGGAACACCTTATCCTTGGTGCCATCTTAAGGCATATCAAGGATAAGAGGGTTATGAGGGGCAGTCAACATGGCTTCACCAAGGGGAAATCATGTTTGACCAATCTCTTAGCCTTTTATGAGGAAATAACACGGTGGATGGATGATGGCAGAGCAGTGGATGTGGTCTACCTTGACTTCAGCAAAGCATTTGACACAGTCTCTCACAGCCTCTGGGAAAATTGAAAGGTACAATGGGCTGTTAAAAACTACACTGAGAGCAATGGGTGGGGGAACTTTCAAGCATTGGGATACACACTTACCAAAGGCCACCTGGTTGGTCAACACCAGAGGATCTGCCAACAGGGCTAGACCAGCCCAGTCGGAACTTTTACATATTGGAGAGGGGGACAAGGTTCCTGTGGTGCATATGGCGAATTTGCTGGGGAAGACAGTCTGGGTTACTCCTGCTTCAGGTCAAAGCAAATCCACTCGTGGGATTGCTTTTGCTCAGGGACCTGGATATACTTGGTGGGTAATGCAGGACGACGGGGAACTCTTGATGTATACCTCAAGGGGATTTGATTTTAGGGGGAAACAGCCAATGAACTTAATTGTATGCAGTTGCCTGCTATGTAATACTTTTGTAGCCCATCAACTAGATGTCTTCAGGGCATCAGCGACTAGCCCTGACTTCCCTCCTACCATCATCCCAACAGAGGATAAACTTTGATAGAACCAGACGAGTTCCGCACTAAAGGAACGACCGGTAGCAGCAGGCAACGATCCAATACTGCACACAGCCTCTCCTGCCCTGAAAGACTCTTACAAGAGATGGAACCTGACACAATGGACGGAATTGAATCGGCAGCATTATAGGAATTGGTCCATGCACTAAAAAAATGATCTCTTTCTCTTGGTCTGTGTGTGTATGTGGGATCTGAGCATGAAGTGAATGGTATGGAATAAGGGGTGGATACTGTCCTGGGTTTAGCAGTAGCAGTCGATTTTTCTCCTTCTTGGTAGCTGGTGCAGCGCTGTGTTTTGACTTTCAGCGTGGGAACAGTGCTGATAACACCAATGTTTTGAGTTGTCACTAAGTAATGTTTACCCTGACTTGTGAGGCTCATGCTCTGCCAGGGAGGAGGGGAAGCCGGGAGGAAGCAGAGACAGGACACCTGATCCAGGCTAGCCAAAGAGGTATTCCATACCACAGCACGTCATGTCCCAGGGTGGGGTGGTAACTGGGAGTTACCCGAAAGGACACGGGGTCTTCTGGGTCAGACTCGTTTTTTGGCAGGTGGTATCGTATTCTCTTCCCTTGTTATTTTCTCTTATCATTGTTGTCATTGGTGGTAGCAGTGGTGATTTGTGTTGTACATCGGTTGCTGGACTGTTCTTGTCTCAACCCGTGGGAGTTGCATTCTTTCGATTCTCCTCCCCATCCCTCTGGCAGCGGGGAAAGGGACACAGTCCTCGACTGCTTCCAGCACAGCACCACTCACTGGGAGTGAGTGAACAAGCTGTCTGGCTGGGTTTAAACCACGAGAATGATGAATAAGAAGTTTCTTATACAATACAAAGTAGCCTCTTCCACGGTAATGACTCCCTCCAAATTCTAAACAGCCAAAGAATTTGGATAAATAACCAAACCAAAATCCAACAGCTCAAATTCTGAGGTTTGCCTATTATCAGCCTCAAGATAACATGCAAGCAGAATTAAAGAAGAGTAAAGTAATTCAAAGTGAGAGGCAAGATATCAGTCTGGTAAAAAAATAATACACTCCACTCAGAGTCCACATACGTTCCATTGATCTAGCATTTTGCTATTGGTATGTATGTGTCATTCAAATAAGACGCATTAATCACTGAAAAATACTTCCTGAAAATTAATTGTTTCTACTCACACTCTCAGATGCAGATCTTAGCAGGTGAGCTGCAACACCATGTGCAATAAGGTTTCCAAACTACTAGCAACTAGGAGCTGGTCCTGAATGCAGAACAAAAACCTGAACAGAGCCTGATGCTCTACATGTGAAAGACAATAAGCAGTAAATGGGCCTGCATACCCGGGAGACTGGAAGCATGCTGCTCTGATATTACAGAAGCAGTACCCTGGAAGAGGATCAGCATCTTCTCTGACATGTCCATACATCCAGTGAGGCCTTCAAAGCTCCCACACCTGAAACATAGAAGTAGAGCTAATCTGCCCTCAAAGCCACTTGCCTGCTTCTGAACTGTCAGTGACAGGAACGAAAACAGAAATGCAATAAGATATGCTCTTCCAGGGCCCCATTTATTAAGTGAATACAAAAATAATATAATTTAAGTGCAGAGGCACAATAATCTGCTCCATGGCTAAAAGATATCTTGGGTTAGCAGTAAACGCAGTTCACAATGCCTTGTAAACAGACCTCTTTACAAGCAAGAGGCATACTGAAACATGACACACCTTGGATTAGAAGTTACCTGTTGCAGCAATACTCCCCACTTCTCATCTTGAGATTTCAGGGCACTTCACAAAACATTTTCAGAAGAGCCCATGTGAAACAAATGAAACACAAGCAACTTGCACTGTAAAAAGTTGAGAAAGTACCACAGCATGTTCCAAGCATGATGGCTTTTACCCCTTGTCAGGTTTGGTTTGCAATGAGAAATAACAGCCAAAGCTACTGTGCATTATGGAAGTTTTAAAAATGAATACTTCTTTTTAAAATTATTTTTACAGCAACCTGTGGCACAGCTGAATAAAAAATAACATTTTTCTTAATACAGTACATGGCATTTCTCCTCAATTGCACAAGTAAATTTGGAAGCGCTTTCAGTTTGTGTTATAGGCAAACAGGAAAGAAAAATAAGTCAGGCAGGCCTTCAGTCTCCTTTCCATCTCTCTGCCCACTGTTTTATCCCCACCCTTTCACATCTGAGAGTCCACATACATTCCATTGATCAGGTAATCCACCTGCGTGTAATCCTTCTTCTTGTAGCTCTCATAGGCCTGCATAAGGAAAAGAACTATAACAGTTATGAAAAACACCATACCAACTAAAAGCACTGCAAGAAGCAAACTTTTATCCACCAAGTACTGAGTCAGGGGCTCTGCTGCAATGAGAAGATACTCATTGTCTATGTCCTGAGTTTCTGCAAGGCCCGAAACTGTTGCTTTGGGTGCACCTGCTGGAACGATGGCTGTTGAAAAAATGTGAGCTGTTGACTCTATCCCATGCCCAGGCACAGTTTCTGCTATATGGGCAGTAATTAAAACTGTGGCACTTCTTGTAGAGCCCATATGAGAAGTCGATTTACTCAAGGATGTTGTGGCTATACGTGCTTCTGAATCTAGATTTGGCAATGTAACAGGGAGTGGATTCACAGAGTGAGAACTCTCCAAGGGTGTAATTTTCATGGCATGAGTGGAAGTAGTGGCAGATGTTCCTACAGCTGGTGGGATGGAGGTGGCCAGTGTTGTGGTCAGTGTCTTCAGGCCAGCTTCAGTAGTGGTGGGGCTACTAGAGCAGGGAGTGCTGGTGGTGGTGATGGCTGGATTAAACTGCTCTGTCTGACTCACTGGAGTACCTGAAGTGACAGTGAGAAGAGCAGAAGTGGGGGACAACCCTGAGACAGAGCTACTATTTCCTGATTTTTCAGTGGTGGCCACACGCTTGGTGACATGGCTGGATGTGGAAGCAGAGATGTTACCAGACGTGGGAAAAGAGGGAATGGATGACATAGCTGTAGAAAGATGACCAGAAACTTCACGGGCATTTGAGGCTTCAGCAGTTGTTTCATAAGCTGAAGTGAGGACAGTTGCATTTATAACATCTTTTGTTATGTCTGTGACAGCAGTGGTGGTTGCTATGGTGGTGGTAGCATTGCTTGCAATTGTTTCTCTTGCAGTTGTTGTTACGGCTGTGGCAGCAGTGTTAGTATTGCTTGCAATTGTTTCTGTTGCATTTGTTGTTACATTTCCACTGTCAGCCCCAAGAAAATCCCTCAGATGAATCTTGTGAGTTTGAACAGGTAAGGACAGGTTTTCCACATTGTTTTGGTCAACTTGTGCATTCAGCATCCTCCTCTTTTTCTGTGGATAGCTTTGGTGGTGAAACAGGATTCCTTCAAAAAGACAAAAACAATGAGTGTCGTAAGACTAAAACTCTCAAGATCAAATCTGACTTCAAACCCCAACATGCAAACCAGAACACATTCTGCAGCACATGTAGTACAACTGAAATAAATCAGTCCTAAAGTCAGCAATTTTTTTTTTTTTTTGGGGGGGGGGGGAAAGGGCAAGATGTTGTTTGTCATTTGTATTTGCCTCAGACCACTGGCATTTGCCCAACCAAGGAATTATCTCCACAAAAGGGGAGTAAGGAAGTGCAGAGTTGCAATGTAGAAGCACATTATCAACAGGAGTAGCGTTACAAGTGCCAGCTCCTGAGAAGAAGCTCTCACACTTTCAAAGTTACACAGCATCAACAAAGCCTTCATGCTTAGATTCATAATTTCCATCTCTCAAAACTGAGTGGAAATTTCCGCTTACACTTTCATACTTCAGAAGAATCTCCTTCACAATTAGTGACCTAGATTTATAGAGACCTAAATCCCATCAAAGACCTTTGCTTATCAAAGGTCTGTAGCTATACTGCAAAGAAAACTTTGCCAAGCCAAAAGAACCATGGACAAACTTCTTTTTTCTAAAAAAAAAAAAAAAAAAACCAAACCCAAACCAAAAACAAAACCACAACAACAAAACCAACCAACCAACCAAAAATCAACAAAAAACTTGGGTACAGCAAACTCTTGAAACATACTGTAGAAAATTGATTCCCCAGTTTCCAACAAGCTCCATTTTGTTGTTGTGTCACTTAATTAAAATTGAAGACCCTGGCACTGTAAAGTCACCATGAGCAATTGCTACTAAGGCTGCTCCCATTATAGAAACAGCCTGCTGCCTCTGGCGCAAAATCCTGCAATCTCTGGAAAAGCAATGCCAAAGCATTTTTCCTTTCTCTTAAAAAAATGTAAATACATCTGTTATGCCTTTATGTTCCAAAGGAGGGTGCGTGGAGTGCAAACAGCTTGAATGAATGATGTGCTCAATATGGTGACAAACTGTTACTCAAAGACAGATCATGTACCTGTAAGTGCCAGAGTCCTCACAAGGCTGAAGAAACAGTTTTTCCAGTGGACTAAGTTCACCTACAGAATCGTCCCGCAAGGCATCTCGCAACCCATTTCTCTCTGCGAAAAGCCAGTCAATGTGTAAACACAGGCATTTAAAGCAAAAGGACAAGGATCCTGGATTTAGCAGGAGCCTGAAGCATGGAATTACCTCCAAGCAGATCTTTGATGTCTCGTTCCCCAGCATTGTGGCACACACTCAGCTGGTGACAGCGGAAGAGGATGCAATAATTTTGGTAGGGCACAAACCAATTACAGTGATGGTTACCTGAAAACAACAGAGAAAATAAAGTCATGTTATCACAGAATGGTTTGGGTTGGAAAGGACCTTAAGATCGAGTTCCAACCCCTCTGCCATGGGCAGGGACACCTCCCACTAGATCAGGTTGTCCAAGGCTCTGTCCAACCTGGCCTTGAACACTGCCAGTTAAAGAATCTAACCAGTTGGGTCACTACACACTGTATACTGAATGCACTGCTTCAGGTCTGTAATTAAAGAATTAAAAACAAAACTAAACCCCAACCACAATAGCTGGAAGGTCAGGCCTTAAGGGATCCTAACAGCCTTAGTGAAAACAACTGGAAGATTAGTTCAATCAATATAGCTGCTGCAGCCTACCTACCTGCTTGTCTTTTGGTATCAACATCTCCTAACAACAGCAATTTACTCACCCAGACAATGACAAAGAGAGTGCTGTACAGTTTGGACCCATCTAAATGCTAGCATTAATCCACATGTCTGAATAGGGGGGTAGGGTGAGGGGAAGTGAGCTGTAACTGAGAAGCCACTCATCACCCATGGGAGAGGGCTCTCATCTCAGTGCTTGGAGTTCCACAGAAATTTACTCTTCATTTGCTGAACCAATTACATTTCAAGAAATTAAAACCCACTCCTCAGAAATGAAAGCACATTTGGATGTGCCCCAATTCCAAATCCCACCTCCTGTCCCTCACCTGACAAGCCACACTAGTGGAGAAATGCAGGCCATCTACTACTGTAAATCATGCCATTTCCCATTTCTTGGGAAGGGGAAAACAAAAAGCCACCAGCCTCTCTTGCACTGGCTACTTGTCTAAGTCAGTCAGTTCAGAAAGATCAAGAGACAAATGTGGTCAGCATCATTAAAACACCCTGGTTTCTGATGCCTTCAGGATGGTATCCAGCTGCTCATGACTTCCCTGTTGCTCCCCAGGAGAACCAGAGACCTCTACTGAGCTGTACTGATTAATACTCTCTCATGCAACTCCAGACTGAAGCTCCAGCCGACATGTACACTGCAAGACACATGCCACCCAGTGGCTCCTTTTTGCTTACTTCTAATTAGGAGACAGAAGGAAAAAAAAAAAAAAAAAAAAATGTGGAAGGACAACAAATGTTCTTCAGAGCTATTCTGAAAGGAAACTATGTAGGCAGATGCCAAGGTTTTCCCTAAAACTGGTTTACTTCATGCTTAAGCCTGCTGCTACTGGAAAGAAACTGCAGATACACATAGGCAAACAAGCCAGGTGTCGTGGTTTAAACCCAGTCAGGTAACTTGTTCACTCACTCCCAGTGAGTGGTGCCGAGCTGACAACAATCAAGGTCCGTGTCCGTCTTCCCCCCCCTGCACCGGGGCTCTCCCCTTCCCCGCTCCCGGAGGAACGGGGAGGAGGATCGAGAGAGTGCAACTCCTACGGGTTGAGACAAGAACAGTCCAGCAACAAATCACCACTGCTACTATCAGCTAAAACAATGATAAGGGAAAATAACAAGGGAAGAGAATACGATACCACCGGCCAAGAAAACGAGTTCCACCCGGAAGCTCCTGTCCTTCCGGGTAACTCCCAGTTACCCCCCACCCCGGGCATGACGTGCTGTGGTATGGAATACCTCCCCGGCTAGCCCGGGTCAGGCGCCCCGTCTCTGCTTCCTCACAGCTTCCCCTCCTCCCTGGCAGAGCATGAGCCTCACAGAGTCCTTGGTCAGGGTAAACATCACTTAGCAACAACCGACAACATCGGCTTCACCAACACTGTTCTCAAACTAGAAGTCAAAACACAGCACTGCACCAGTTAACACAAAGGAAAAAACATGACTGCTACTGCTGAACCCAGGACATTATCCACCCCTTATTCCATACCATTCACGTCGTGCTCAGATCCCACATTTTCAATACACCATCGCTCTCCCACATATATACATCCATATACATAAAGACCAAGAGGAAAAAAATAATTTTCTTAGTGCATGGACCAATCCCTATAATGCTGCCGAGTCCATTCGGTCCATGATGTTCCAAGTTCATTCTCTGTTGGGATGATGGCTGGAGGGAAGTCAGGGCCAGTCGCTGGTGACCTGGAGACATCTAGTTGATGGGCTATAAAAGCATTACACAGCAGGCAACTGCATACAATTGAGTTCACTGGCTGTTTTCCCCTAAAATCAAATCCCCTTGAGGTATACATCGGACTTCCCCATCTTCCCGCATTACCCACCAAGTATATCCAGGTCCCTGAGCAAAAGCAATCCCACGAGTGGGTTTGCTTTGACCTGAAGCAGGAATAACCCAGACTGTCTTCCCCAGCAAATTCTTCATATGCACCACGGGAACTTTGTCCCCCTCTACAATATGTAAAAGTTCTGACTGGGCTGGGCCAGCCCTGTTGGCAGATCCTCTGGTGTTGACCAACCAGGTGGCCTTTGGTAAATGTGTATCCCAATGCTTGAAAGTTCCCCCACCCATCGCTCTCAGTGTAGTTTTTAACAGCCCATTGTACCGTTTGATTTTCCCAGAGGCTGGTGCATGGTAGGGGATGTGATATACCCACTCAATGCCAAGCTCTTTGGCCCAAGTGTCTATAAGGTTATTCCGGAAATGAGTCCCATTGTCTGACTCAATTCTCTCTGGGGTGCCGTGTCGCCACAAAATCTGTTTCTCAAGGCCCAGGATAGTGTTCTGGGCAGTGGCATGGGGCACAGCGTATGTTTCCAGCCACCCGGTGGTTGCTTCCACCATGGTAAGCACATGGCGCTTGCCTTGGCGGGTTGGTGGCAGTGTGATATAGTCAATCTGCCAGGCCTCCCCATATTTATACTTCAACCATCGTCCTCCATACCAAAGAGGCTTTAACCGCTTGGCTTGTTTAATTGCAGCACATGTTTCACACTCATGAATAACCTGGGCAATAGTGTCCATTGTTAAGTCCACCCCTCGGTCACGGGCCCGTCTATATGTTGCATCTCTGCCCTGATGGCCTGAAGTGTCATGGGCCCACCGGGCCAAAAATAATTCACCTTTATGTTGCCAATCTAAGTCCATCTGAGCCACTTCAATCTAGCCACTTTATCCACTTGTTGGTTGCTCTGGTGTTCCTCAGTGGCCCGACTCTTGGGTACATGGGCATCTACATGACGTACCTTCACCACCAGGTTCTGCACCCGGGCAGCAATATCTTTCCACAGTGCAGCAGCCCAGATGGGTTTACCTCTGCGTTGCCAGTTGCTCTGCTTCCATTGCTGCAACCACCCCCACAGGGCATTTGCCACCATCCATGAGTCAGTATAGAGATAAAGTACTGGCCACTTTTCTCGTTCAGCAATGTCCAGGGCCAGCTGGATGGCTTTCACCTCGGCAAATTGACTCGATTCACCCTCTCCTTCAGCAGTTTCTGCAACTTGTCGTCCAGGACTCCATACAGCTGCCTTCCGTCTCCGATGCTTTCCCACAATACGGCAAGAGCCATCAGTAAAGAAGGCATACTGCTTTTCACTTTCTGACAGTTTATTATATGGTGGGGCCTCTTCAGCACGCACCACCTCCTCCTCTGGTGACATTCCGAAATCTTTGCCCTCTAGCCAGTCCATGATGACTTCTAGAATGCCTGGACGACTGGGATTTCCTATTCGAGTTCGTTGTGTAATTAGTGCAGCCCATTTACTCCATGTAGCATCAGTTGCATGATGTGTAGAGGAGACCCTGCCTTTGAACATCCAGCCCAGCACGGGCAGCCGGGGCGCCAGGAGGAGCTGTGCTTCAGTGCCAATCACTTCCGAAGCAGCTCGAACCCCTTCATACGCTGCCAGTATCTCTTTCTCAGTTGGGGTATAGCTGGCCTCAGATCCTTTGTATCCCCGACTCCAAAAGCTGAGGGGTCGACCTCGAGTCTCCCCTGGAGCTTTCTGCCAGAGGCTCCAGGTAGGACCGTTCTCCCCAGCTGCAGTGTACAGCACATTTTTTACATCTGGCCCGGTCCGGACTGGTCCAAGGGCTACTGCATGAACTATCTCACGTTTAATTTGCTCAAAGGCTTGTTGCTGCTCAGGGCCCCATTTAAAATCATTCTTCTTCCGGGTCACATGATAGAGAGGGCTTACAATCGAACTGTAATTTGGGATGTGCATTCTCCAGAACCCCACTGCACCCAAGAAAGCTTGCGTTTCTTTCTTATTAGTTGGTGGAGACATTGCTGTTATCTTGTTGATCACATCTGTGGGGATCTGTCTATGTCCATCTTGCCATTTTATGCCCCAAAATTGAATCTCCTGTGCAGGTCCCTTGACCTTACTCCGTTTTATGGCAAAACTAGCTTTCAGCAGGATTTGGATTATTTTCCTCCCTTTCTCAAAGACTTCTTCCACTGTATCGCCCCACACAATAATGTCATCAATGTATTGCAGGTGTTCTGGAGCTTGCCCCTGTTCCAGTGCAGTCTGCATCAGTCCATGGCAAATGGTAGGGCTGTGTTTCCACCCCTGGGGCAGTCGGTTCCAAGTGAACTGGACACCCCTCCAAGTAAAAGCAAACTGTGGCCTGCACTCTGCTGCCAAAGGAATGGAGAAAAATGCATTGGCAATATCAATCGTGGTATACCACTTGGCTGCCTTTGACTCTAGTTCATAGTGAAGTTCTAGCATGTCCGGTACGGCAGCACTCAATGGTGGTGTGACTTCATTCAGGCCACGATAGTCTACTGTTAGTCTCCATTCTCCATTAGACTTTCGCACTGGCCATATGGGGCTATTGAAGGGTGAGCGGGTCCTGCTGATCACCCCCTGACTCTCCAGTCTACGGATCAGCTGATGGATGGGAATCAGGGAGTCTCGGTTGGTGCGATATTGCCGCCGGTGCACTTTTGTGGTCGCAATTGGCACTTGTTGTTCTTCAACTTTCAGCAACCCCACAGCAGAGGGATCTTCTGAGAGACCAGGCAAGGTGGACAGCTGCTCAATTTCCTCAGTCTCCAAAGCAGCAATACCAAAAGCCCACCGGTACCCTTTTGGGTCTTTGAAGTACCCTCTCTTGAGGTAGTCTATGCCGAGGATGCATGGAGCCTCTGGACCAGTCACAATAGGGTGCTTTTGCCACTCCCTCCCAGTCAGGCTGATTTCAGCCTCCAGCACAGTCAACTCTTGGGATCCTCCTGTTACTCCAGAAATATAGATGGGTTCCACCCCTTGACAGCTTGATGGCATCAGGGTACACTGTGCACCGGTATCTACTAGAGCCTTATACTTCTGTGGGACTGATGTGCCAGGCCATCTGATCCACACAGTCCAGTAAATCCGATTGTCCCCTACCTCCACCTGGCTGGAGGCAGGGCCCCTCTAATGGTCGTCACAGCACTGGACACTTAAGTCGTGTTGAAAGGGATTATTCTTCATTATCACAGGAGCTGGAGTAAAATCAGCTCTTCCACTCCATCTGGGAAACTGCTC